GAGCAAGCCACTGTTTCCCCCCGAACCGAGACCGCGTCTTTCTCGCCTTGACAAGAATGACATCGACTTCACCCACGATTCAATGTCCCCGTGATTGGGCATGAACAATGAGCGATATATGCATCGAGGCCCTAGGTCAACTTTTGGAGCAGCGGCTGAAAATGCAAGTGAGAACGTGATGCGCTGCGAAAGATGAGGGAGGCTGGCCGAGCAAGCAATTTTGTGGTAGCAACAAGCCCTACAAAGCAGTATCACAGCTCTTCTTAGGTGCATTGGCTTCTGTTTGCAAAGTCATGTTTGCTTCGCTTGCACAACGGCCCAATTGATCGTGGGTACCGGTGGGTGACGTCCTGCATTTGTGCTGTGGTTGACGGGAGCGCTGAAAGAAGCCGCAGTTTGCGCGATCAAGTGATTTGAGAAAAAGCACTTCTTTCCGATCGCTTCCAAAGACTCAAAGTCAAGTTACTTCTACATTTGTTGGCGTGGGGGAAATGGACGCGTTTGTCGAGCCTGCGCTTCCGTCGCGTATGCGACCGAGAGTCAAACAAATCCAGGTGCTACGTGACCATGACTTCGTAGACATCCAATTCCATTCAAGCCATAATTCTACCAAACATCCTTGCGTCGCGGTGAATAACTCGCCTGGGTTCTAATTTCACCGTTTGGAGTCTGCCTTTGGCTCGTGATGATGGCTGTATCGTAGCCTGTTCGGTGGCGCATGCGAGTAAACCACTAGAAGTTCGCGTATTCGATCAAATGGTTATGATATCAAACCAAACAACTTACCGCTTTGCTTCGCCCAGCTGTATCAAAATAGCAATCCTCATGGCATTGTCAACCATGCACTCAAGTTCATACCCAACGAGTCGTTGAATCGGTTTATTTGTAACATCTTATGTTCGCCATTTGCATCGCCAGACTCCTACCCTAAGCCTCGTAGCGATGCTTTAGCTCCAAGCCATCTGTCGCCGGGCACTCGCGATTCGCAGGACATATCAATCTAATCTAATCTGATCCATTCGATGGCAAAAAGTGATTGATTAGGTAGAGCTCGGCAAGCCGTGTTTCGTAGTGGTTGAAGCGAAAGTCGGTGGCGTAAATGTCATCCCGGGACCACCAAGACTGAGCCAAGCTCTCATGCACTCTCCATTATTACGCCTGTCGTGACGTCGGAGGCGATTCGAAGCTGATCAAAGGAATTGTGTCTCATACTCGAGGAATAAGAAGAACTTAATGCAAATTCGATAATACTTTCGCATATCATTCTGTAGGGTAGAGCTTGCAAACACCTTGACCCTTTACTCCGTATGAGCTTCACCAACACCAGACGAAATTTCTCAGCGGGAGAGCGAGCAAAAAACTCAGAGCCTAGGTAGCTAACCCCACAACAGCTTCCTTTCTAAATCTCCGCCCCTCAAATTAGCGCACATCCCGTCCACTTGGCCCCAATTAGCGTCTACTTAGTGGCATGATCCCACTGCAAAGCTCGCAGGGACTGCGGATAATCGGCACAGACCGGGTACAACACGACAGGCACCTCATCCTCAACCAAGCTTCCAAGCTTTACAAGACGGACTCCCCTACCCTGCTCTGCTACCCTCGGCTTGTCCACTTCACGGTACGCATCGGGATATTCGCCGTCTCAAGCAAAGATGGAATACATCTTATCTAATCTGATTGGGCCAAGACCTTCAACACCGAGATCGGGGTATAAATAAAATCTGGAGAGAAAAAAAGAACAAGTTCAGTCAGTCAGTCAGTAGTCACAAGCCATCAACCAGCAATCATGTCTTCAGAACCATTCCAGCAAAAGTCGCCAATCAAGATCAGGCTCCCTCTGCCTTATCTGTCCACCTACTACCTCGAGCGTACTGCTGAGGGTCAGCAGTCGTATCGTCTGCGCAAGGACGACTCCATCACAGAGGGCAAGCCTTTCCCCAAGGTTCTCCATGCAGATGACCTAGTTTTCTCCAAGATTCCTGCTGTGGAATCTGATAAGATCCCTGATTCTGATAACCGCGAGTACGCTCGTGCTAGAAGAAGTCCTGTCTGGTCGCTGAGCTGGGAGAAGCAGACTCCTACTCTTTCGCAGACCTGGATGTTCCTCTACACTTTCTTCACATACCACTTTGATGTAGAGCAATTCCGTCTTCGCCTCGAGGGCGCTGGCGCTGAGGATCTGGCCAAGGAGCTGGTCCTCTCCATGGTCGCCATCAACATGCCTCCTCCTCCCAAGGGCGTTGAGCCCGCACCCAGCACTGGAGTTGAGGTTCTTGTTCTTCGCAGCGCGTTCTGGCAGGGATGCGCCTCTCCATTGGGCCAACAGCCCATCTGGCTTCCTACCTGGAACTCCGCCAACGTGGTGCCTCATCTGGAGTACGTGATGACGCCCACCTCTGAGTCCACTCTTCTGCGTCACCCGCGCCGAACACCCAAGCCTGCTGCCGGTAGTTACATCTACAGCCGGTACATCCCATCTCTTGACGAGCACTTCAACCTCGTCGCTCTCGACTACGAGAACCCCGAGCACTTAGGTCTCTTCAACACATGGCAGAACGACCCTCGTGTCGCTGCTGGATGGATGGAGACAGGCACTCTTGATGAGCATCGCGCATATCTTAAGAACATCCACGATGACCCTCATCAGTTCGCTGTTCTGGGTTACTTCAACGACACACCTTTCGCCTACTTTGAGCTGTACTGGGCCAAGGAGGACAAGATGGGTCAACACTACGCCTGCCTTGACTTCGATCGCGGCCGACACTCACTCGTCGGTAACGACAAGTTCCGCGGACAGTATCGCGTTATGGCATGGTGGCCCAGTGTGATGCACTACGAGTTCCTCGATGACCACCGCACTGAGAACGTTGTCGGCGAGCCTCGTCTCTCCAGCGAGAACGTTCTCAAGTATGAGATGATCTTCGGTCTTCACCAAGACAAGTGGATGGACCTGCCTCACAAGCGATCCAACCTTGTCAAGATCTCTCGTGAGCGCTTCTTCCAGATCTGCCCCTTCAACCAGGGCAAGCCTCGTGTCGCTGGCACGACCTTTGGCTTTGAGCCCAAGCTGTAAATGAATGGGAAAATGTCTTTAAAAGTTGTTGGAATGGAAATTTGATGGCCACTGGATAGTAAAATAATGCTAGCGACTTGTTTATCATCTGTCAATTTTTATTATCGCTATTGTTCGTTCTTACAACCTCTTGGCGATGGGCCGTGACATTTGAGCATGAGTGAAGCGTTCACAATTGACAATTCACGCTCCAACGGGAATAACTCTGCCAAGATAATGGCCAAGAGGTGATCCGATCTTACCGATCAGGAATCCTTTGACACGTTGCCAAGGCGCAACGGCATTGCCGATCCTGTTGATCAGCTTCAATTACATGCAGAGGTTGCGATTGAAGATCAACCTTCTATAGCGAGGTATCTTGTAGTTTGCCGCTTCCATCAACCGTATACTCTGGATATAGCAGTTCCATTCCACGGTAATTAAGTAACGGGCGGTACAGCTAGAATGAACTTCGGAACTTTGGTCGGCTGTTGTTTACCTCCGGAAATATCATGAATTACCCTTTCGTGACACGGAGCTAGCGTGGGGGACCCTTTTTACATTACGGCTCCTGTCTTTTTTACGCAAATGAGCTCCGAAAACTGGACGAAATTGCGCCGGTTGCAGCCGTCATTTAAGCTTGTTTAAGCGGCAGATAAACTGCGTCGAGGCTTGCAGCAACGAGATCGCGTGCAAACTTTCTTTCTCACCAAAGGACAAGCAGTCGGCCGAGCAAGAAAAGCCCATTCCTAGCTTCAGGGGTCCGTCTGGTCTCACGACCTTCAGTGGAGTGACTCTTCTCCCACAACCCGCGGCTCGAGCGGTTGAGGCACCAGACCCCTGGAGAACTTGACCCCTTGTGGCGTTTGGTCCGCTGGTTGTGAGGCCAGAATCAAGCCTCGTTATGCAGTCTTGGCCATAAATGGGTATGGTCTGTAGGGCTACTGACGATGAGCAATGGAGCTCTATTTGCCAAGAGGAAGTTATTGTCATATTATTGATGGTTGCCAAGAGAGAAATATGGGCATTCTACGGCGAGCTTCCGATGGTTTTTTAGTTTGCCAAGCGCGGAACATCGACAGCTGATGCAGGGTTTTTTTTTTTAATTTTTTTAACGACGTCTTGGAGGGCTCCGACGTGTTGGTTGAACATGACAAAAGACGCCTGATGAGAATGGAACCCTTGTATCGTGGTGCCAAGATCACGCAGTTGGTTGGCTCTAGGTAATTCAATCCCACGCCAGAGGCAAAAGCTGAAGAAAGTAGTGAGATGCGAAATGGGGAGGCTCCGCTGCAAAAGCGGAGGTTACAGTGAGGCCTCAGTGACTCTCAGCGAACCCTGTCTTCCAACCAGTGGACTGTTAAAGCGATGCTGCAAAACAAAGTGCATCAAGATTGAACCAAGATCCCACAATACGATGAAGTCCAGCACGGATCACACCCGACAGAAGCAATTCCACCGATGAAGCACAAGTTTTGATTCGATCTAATCGATCAATCAGATTAGATAATGGAAATCTCTGCTTTGCTTGACGCCGTCCGAATTGAACCCCCCACTTACAAACCCGGTAACTCGTGCGTTCCAGGCCTGTGCTAACGACAAAGTGGCTGCAGCTGCTGGATCCCTCGCGTTCCGAGAATCTCCAGTCTGTCACTTTCTCTCTGCTTGTTGGTTCCCAATTCCCAATCGTCCTAAACGAGCCCGATCTCGGTGGGTTTGGCCACCTGAGAGACCTGATCTTATCTGATGGAAAGTGGATTGCGTCTAATATCCTTCACAGTCTAGCCAGAAGCACCCCCTTGCTCTAGACAACTGCTTTAAAATTTTCCCTGTCAATTTAAACTTATAACCGCGTGCTCTTCCCTCCCATGATGTGCTGAGCCTCTCTTTCTTCCTTGTCTTCCCAAAGCTTAAGCTTAAATTTTATCCTGCTAAAGACAAGATCACCATGGGAGCTCTCGACAAGTTCCTTGGGCGTAAGGGTAATGAGGGTGATGCCACTGAGGCACCCGTCACTGTCACTGCTGCCATGAACGAAAAGGACCAAGAGGCTGGCAAATACCCTGATGAGACTGGTAGCGCCAGCGATGCCGTTACCGAGAACGCGCAGCATGGTGTCAAGGCCGTTGAGGCTACGACTCTGGCCTGGAGCAAGAAGGCTCTTGCTGGTGTCTTCGTTTTGTATGTTTTCGTCTTGTCGCAATTGAAGTCGCGAACTAACGATGTTGCAGCATGTGGTTGATCTACCTCACCAATGGTTTCCAGAGCCAGATCAACTACACTCTTGTTCCCTACGCCAGCAGTGAATGGGAGTCTCACTCTCTCATTCCCGTCATTGGCATTGTAGCCAACTGCATGACTGCCGCTGTCTACATTCCCCTGTCCAAGATCCTCGATATCTGGGGTCGTGCTGAAGGTTTCCTTCTCATGGTCACTTTTGCTACCATTGGTATGGCTATGATGGCTGCTAGTCGCAACCTCGCCACCTACTGTGCCGCTACCGTAAGTCATCTCCGGTCCCTCGCAACAATAGACACTTACTAATTGCCCTGAAGGTCTTCTGGCAGGTTGGCTGGTCTGGTCTCACCTACAGCATTGACGTTATCACGGCCGATTCCACACAACTCAAGAACCGAGGTCTTGCGTACGCCTTCACCTCTTCTCCATACATGATCACTGCCTTCGCTGGTCCCAAGTCCGCCGAGGCCTTCCTCCGAAACGGTGATCAGTGGCGATGGGGCTTTGGAACATTCTCCATTGTCCTTCCCGTCGTCGCCATCCCCATGTACGTCCTCCTGAGGTTCAACCTTCAGAAGGCCAAGAAGCAGGGTCTCCTTGTCAATGAGTCTAGCGGTCGATCTTTCTTGGAGAACATCAAGTGGGGACTCATTGAGTTCGATGCTGTTGGTGCTTTCTTGTTCGCTGCTGGTCTTGTCATCTTCCTCCTTCCCTTCTCCATCGCTAGCAGCGCCCCCAAGGGCTGGGACACCCCTTACATCATTGCGATGATCATTCTGGGTGTTGTTCTTCTGGCCATCTTCGGTGCTTACGAGCGCTATGTTGCCCCTAAGCCATTCCTTCGCTTCGAGCTCCTTACCAGCCGCACCGTTATCGGTGTCTGCCTTCTGGACTTTGTCTACATGATCGCCTACTACTGCTGGAACAGCTACTTCACCTCGTTCCTCCAGGTGGTCAACAACCTACAACCCTCTACAGCTGGTTATGTCAACAACACTTTTGAGATCGTCTCTGGTGTCCTCCTCTTCATTGTTGGCTATGCCATGCACAAGACCGGACGCTTCAAGTGGATTCTGTGTGTCGGTATTCCTCTGTACATGTTTTCCCAGGGTCTCATGATCTACTTCCGTCGCCCTGGTCAATCCATTGGCTACCTCATTATGTGTGAAGTCTTCATCTCAATCGCTGGCGCTACCTTTATTCTTTGCATGCAAGTCGGTGTCCTCGCTGCCGTCGAGCATCAGTATGTCGCTACCGCTCTGGCTACCCTTAGCGTCACTGGCAACATTGGATCTGCTGTCGGCAGCACCATCTCTGCCACCATCTGGACCAACACCTTCTATAAGAAGCTCGCCGAGTATCTTCCTGAGTCTGCTCAGGCTGATCTCGACGCCATTTACGAGTCCCTCGACTCCCAGCTCCTCTATGAGATGGGCAGCCCCGAGCGTCTTGCGATCCAGAAGGCTTACGGTTATGGCCAGGCTCGCATGCTTGCTGCCGGAACTGGCATTATGGCTGTCGCTCTTATCTCGCTGTTCTTGATCAAGAACTACGATCTCAGGAAGATCAAGCAGACCAAGGGTACTGTCTTCTAAGAGACTGGATTGTCTTGGACGATACGGTCAGATTGATCTCAAATAAAATTATGGTGGAAGAGTAATGCTATATGGTGTTATATACCTAGTAACTAACAGACAATTGTAATAAATGACGATGGCATTATGGCCTCAACAGAATGGCAGTATTTGCCTTGTTATTTATATCTTTGGGGTTCCAGTAACAAGTGAAAATTGGTTGCGATCTTGTTTCGACCGGTGACTTGTCGCCGAGCAGCCGCCTGAATGGTATCCAGTCATGATTTGAAGTAAGCTGAGACATACGTTGAAGGCAAACGTATTGTTGACGAGCTACGCGGCAATTGAATGAACTGGAAGTTGCAGCACCGGAGGATTTTTAATTACTGAAGCATGACCTTCTGATGTCTCTGACAGACGGGCCCCGATTGAAGTGTTCACAACCAGACCAACACTGTGCAAATACCCGATCAACAGCATTATTCGTGAAGAGTTTGCACCATTTGCGCACTTGCATGCGCTAATATCAATTAAAATCTATCAAGTGTATCTTCATCTATATTCAGATTTTGCCGAGAATGAACTGCATAAGTCCCTGCTGAAGACCCGTCACTGCAACACTTCCGTGATCCTCACCCTCAAACTCACGAGTCCAGATCTTCTTGACACTCGGGCAATCCTTCAGTCGCGACACCAAAGCCGTTGCGCTTGGTTTCATCTTGTCGTCCTCGGCACAGTTCTGTCTCTTGTACCACTTTTCGTCATCATCGTCAGGATCCCTCACCAATTCTGACTTGCCGGTGCCCCATGTAAGAGCCAGCGAAAATGGAGGGTCGACGGGCTTGTCGCGTGCAAGAAAAGCATTCTCACGTTCGCGAATTAAAAAGTCCTTGTTCCACCAAATGACAGGGCTGGCAGCGATATAAGTGTTGAAGAGCTCTGGTTGAGTGAACATTGTGTTGAGGGTGAAGATGCCGCCATATGAATGGCCAAAGAGAGCCTTGCGACCGGTGTGAAGATTGGCCTTGGGGAAGAGTTTGTCTTCGACGTAAGGCATCACATCTGCTTTGATCCACTCGAGAAACTCATTGGCTTCACCAAATGAGATGTCTGTGCGAGGCTTGCCGTATCTGTCGAGCGGCATATCGTACTCATCGGCGGGTGGTGTAAGATCCGGCCCACGACGGAAGTCGTAGACATATTTACTGGGCGGGTATCCAATGCCCACCACGACAGTCCTTGTGCTATTCAAGTATTCCAATCGACGAGAAACATCAACGGCTGTGAAGAAGTAGGCATTGCCATCAACAAGGTAGCTGTGTGGTAATTAGGTATGTTCTTTTTGGGATAAGGCCAAGCACTACTCACACCAGATTGACCACTTCATTCTCAGAGGCAACGCGATCTTCACCCCAGCACAAAGGCCATGCTACTTGCACGAGGTAGTCTCCCCTCTTGGTCTTGGCAAGCCACTCGAGAGTATTAGGGACACGAGCGTGTCCATGGCTATGATCGGTAGTCATTGTTTTGTTATGGATGTGAATAAGACTTCTTGGTGTTTTTATCGACAATAGTGGGCGGGCGTGAGTGAGACAACGCAGCATGACATGCAGTGACAGCAGACTAAGGTAAGACGAGTCAGTGACTGGACTGGACTCAAGATCTGATAAACAAAGAAAAAGATCTGATAAAAAACGCGCATTTACTTATGGGTCCTTTATGGCGTCAGTGCGACAGCGGTATCGGATCAGGCCTTCGGGCGGCTACGTTCGGCAGAACCCACTGACAATTTACCATTTGACACGAATCAATGCAACGGTGTCGACATCAAGACAAGAGTTATTCTACCGCTGATATTGCCATAGAGTGATGCGCAGTGGTAGAGTGGTGGTCCCCATGTTGCCAATCATCTGCCAAGCTGACAATGACCCGCGACAGCTCGCTGGCGGAAGCACGCTGCTTCTCAGTCACCGGTGAACTACTAGAGACAATGAATGGCACTAGGGGTAGCAGTATATTCAGTTGTCCGTATAGATGCCAAGTTGGAAGTTTGGCAGTACAAGATCGCTATGGTGAGCAATGCATCTAAAGCCACGCACAGCGATGCCCTCGCGTAACACTTCAATACTCACGTCTAAACCAACGTTATGACAGCTGGCTAGTCGCAAATCAAGAATTCGAAAAGACTCAGTCTATACATCTTAGTACAGCAGAGCAAGAGAGCCAACGCGCAGGAATGAGTCGCCAGCTTGTTCCTGACCGAGTGAGAAGAACATTGCTTCGAGGTGCCATGCGATTCAAGCCGAGTTCTACAATTCGTAGTCCAATAACCACATCGTTCGATATAAAATGAAATGAGGTGCTGTGTGAAAGATTAAGACTTATAGATCTTCAATCTGTTGCTGTCTTGTAGGCCTGCTTCCGAAGTTCTCTCTGTTGCATCAAGCTATCTCTTTGCTTGGGCTAGGGACGGAACTTACAAGCCGAAAGCACGAGCAAACTGACATTGATTCAATCAACTGGAGTTGATAAAGTATGAAGATCGGAGAATATTGGAACCTCTTGGCCAGCAGGGCTTACTGCAGCCCTATGAAACGGACCCGTAGGATCATCCCAGGACTGGTGCTACCCTCCACCGGTGCCCCTTGACACCCTTGACGGAACTGCATGCACTCATATGCAAGATTGAGGGTCTTGGTACGGGTAGTGATCTTCTTGGAGGTGTGATGGTCCCACAGATGTGTATGGACAGTAGTAGTGTGATGCAGCGAAGCCTGTCCGATACCCTGACTAGGCTGTGTCGCCCGAGCGGTTCCATCGCCATATTCACAGGTGTTAATGGAAACCGAGACCCCATGGACTTTAATGAATGGTATTAGAGACGAAACTCCTCTCAAGCCGTTTGAAAATGCCGTAGAGTGCATGCCGGTGGATCGTAGGTGCACATGCAAGTCCATATTCTCAACGTCGGAAAACAGGAAGACCAAGTACCCCTTGCGTAATGTCATCGGCAGAGTTTCTCATGATGGAAGATGCCGTATCAATGTATGTAGATTGCACCCATCAGCTGCAGAGGACTTGCGTCGGTGCATACGGATCTCAGTCAAACACTTGTCGCAATGCAGCGACACGGTCAGGACAAGACTTAAGAACTAATTGAAGTCAACACGAGTGACTGAGACACAGAAACTCATATTCTAACTCAATGTTTCGCTGTGTCGCCCTTTCAAGCGCATTGGCTCATCTCTTGGTGACTTGTCTAGCGATCACGGTGTGACACTGTCATGGTTACCAAAACGTACAGTGTTTGGCTATGGGCTTGCAAACAACTAAAACAGGCTGGCTATGCTCTCCAACTAGTGAATGGCATCCGAAACGAGTGATTCGCTACGCATACAACAGACAATCGAAGAACAAGTCTGGGTTGATCGTGAGGCGATGGGTTTAGTAGGGCTCATATTGATGACTGCGACCACTTTCCCCAACTAAAAACTCTTGGTGAGATGGCCGAGTTGGTTATGGCGCCAGGTTAAGGTTAACCTTAACACCAATTTCCTGGTGGAGCAATCCTCCTGGGTTCGAGTCCCAGTCTCATCAGTTTCTTTTGCTGTTCGCAGTGAATCGTTTTCTTTTTGCCAGTCAAATGAAGCGATTGATTCAGGTTGCGATCCAATGTTGGTGGCATGAGCAAACTTTATCGCCTGGGCGCTTACCCGAGCTGAGCCGAGGAGGGGAACTCAACGACAACTACAGGGTTCTTAGTGACCATAGACCACTGAAGGCCCCGTCACTTACGCGCAGCAGTTGAGTCGTTCATTGTTTTTCGTGACGCCATCAGGATCATGAGCATATACCGCATCGTGAATAGCTGGAGACAGTTACTTGTCCGATACCAATAGTCACATGCGCAATTGAACCAAACGTGTTAAGTCAATCATGTTCGTTTGAAGAAACAGACTCATTTTAGAGTCATCAAGATGGTCTATCTGAGAAGCTGTCCTGAGACAATGGTTTAAAGTTTGTACATAGTAATGAGATCTTAATCGATGCCGCCTTCGTGGCATTTCCGCTTTTGTTCTAATGCCGTCCTTCTACAGGCGACGGTGGTGGCGGCGCTGTCGCATAGACCTCTTGCACTTTGAAGGTCTCTTGGTAGCGACGGGAGTGCTGATGGGAGTAGTAGCAACGGGGACAGTGCCGTTGCTGGGAACAACAGGGCTGGAAGCCCCGTTTCCGCCACCGAGGATCTTAGAAGCAGCGTGCTCAGCAGCGACCATGATGATGGCCTGAGTGTTGCCAGTAGGAAGATCAGGGTGGATGGAACCGTCAACGACGAACAGGTTCTCAGTGCCCCAGACCTTGGTGTCAGTATCGACAACGCTGGTACCATCGTTCTCAGTACCCATGATGGCAGAGCCAACAAAGTGAGAACCGCTGACGTACTCGGCCATGAGACTCTCGGCGGTAGCGTTGCTGGCGATGCTGAGGGTACTGTTGGGCTTGGATGCAAAGCTGATGAGCTTGTTCATGAAGCTCTTGACAGCCTCCTTGTCGCCTGCAGTCTTGAGGTAAGGCTCGCCGACAAGCTTGGTAGCACCAGAGCTGGTGACGGTAAGAGAACCGCTAGAGGTAGCACCGTGGGTGAGGTAGACCTTGACCTTGACAGCATCGTCACCAGCAGCGGCGCAAGTACCCTGAACGTATCGCTCAACACCATCGGAGCCTTTGACAGTGTCCCAAAAGATGAAGCGCTGGCCAGACTGAGCAAGAAGACCGTCACCCTGGGCGAAAAGATCAATGTTGGTCTGGCTAGGCTTGGTGAAGTCCGTCTCCGTGAGAGCTGACATGGGCTGCTTGGTCTTCATCTTGACGGTGAAGATAGGGTGGTCCTTAAGGTTCTCTCCGACGGGGAGGTCGAGCCACTGATCCTTGGCAGGCATTGTGAGGCGCTGGCTTCCGCTAGCAACGGCCTCAATCTGCTCAGAAGGACCAATACCAGAGTTGACGAGAAGGCGGGGAGT